CACTGGTGGTGATTCCTCATCTCTAGTAGCACCACCACTGGTGGTGATTCCTCATCTCTAGTAGCACCACTGGTGGTGATTCCTCATCTCTAGCACCACCACTGGTGGTGATTCCTCATCTCTAGTAGCACCACTGGTGGTGATTCCTCATCTCTAGCAGCACCACTGGTGGTGATTCCTCATCTCTAGCACCACCACTGGTGGTGATTCCTCATCTCTAGTAGCACCACTGGTGGTGATTCTTCATCTCTAGTAGCACCCACTGGTGGTGATTCCTCATCTCTAGTAGCACCACTGGTGGTGATTCCTCATCTCTAGTAGCACCACCACTGGTGGTGATTCCTCATCTCTAGTAGACACCACTGGTGGTGATTCCTCATCTCTAGTAGCACCACCACTGGTGGTGATTCCTCATCTCTAGTAGCACCACTGGTGGTGATTCCTCATCTCTAGTACCACCACTGGTGGTGATTCCTCATCTCTAGTAGCACCACCACTGGTGGTGATTCCTCATCTCTAGTAGCACCACTGGTGGTGATTCCTCATCTCTAGCAGCACCACTGGTGGTGATTCCTCATCTCTAGCACCACCACTGGTGGTGATTCCTCATCTCTAGCAGCACCACTGGTGGTGATTCCTCATCTCTAGCACCACCACTGGTGGTGATTCCTCATCTCTAGCACCACCACTGGTGGTGATTCCTCATCTCTAGTAGCACCACTGGTGGTGATTCCTCATCTCTAGTAGCACCACCACTGGTGGTGATTCCTCATCTCTAGCAGCACCACTGGTGGTGATTCCTCATCTCTAGCACCACCACTGGTGGTGATTCCTCATCTCTAGCAGCACCACTGGTGGTGATTCCTCATCTCTAGCACCACCACTGGTGGTGATTCCTCATCTCTAGCACCACCACTGGTGGTGATTCCTCATCTCTAGTAGCACCACTGGTGGTGATTCCTCATCTCTAGTAGCACCACCACTGGTGGTGATTCCTCATCTCTAGTAGCACCACTGGTGGTGATTCCTCATCTCTAGCACCACCACTGGTGGTGATTCCTCATCTCTAGTAGCACCACCACTGGTGGTGATTCCTCATCTTTAGCACCACCACTGGTGGTGATTCCTCATCTCTAGTAGCACCACTGGTGGTGATTCCTCATCTCTAACAGCACCACTGGTGGTGATTCTTCATCTCTAGTAGCACCACTGGTGGTGATTCCTCATCTCTGGTAGCACCACTGGTGGTGATTCTTCATCTCTAGTGGCACCACCACTGGTGGTGATTCCTCATCTCTAGTAGCACCACTGGTGGTGATTCCTCATCTCTAGTAGCACCACCACTGGTGGTGATTCCTCATCTCTAGTAGCACCACTGGTGGTGATTCCTCATCTCTAGTAGCACCACCACTGGTGGTGATTCCTCATCTCTAGTAGCACCACTGGTGGTGATTCCTCATCTCTAGCACCACCACTGGTGGTGATTCCTCATCTCTAGCACCACCACTGGTGGTGATTCCTCATCTCTAGCAGCACCACTGGTGGTGATTCCTCATCTCTAGTAGCAGCACTGGTGGTGATTCCTCATCTCTAGTAGCACCACCACTGGTGGTGATTCCTCATCTCTAGCACCACCACTGGTGGTGATTCCTCATCTCTAGTAGCACCACTGGTGGTGATTCCTCATCTCTAGTAGCACCACCACTGGTGGTGATTCCTCATCTCTAGTAGCACCACTGGTGGTGATTCCTCATCTCTAGCACCACCACTGGTGGTGATTCCTCATCTCTAGCACCACCACTGGTGGTGATTCCTCATCTCTAGTAGCACCACTGGTGGTAATTCCTCATCTCTAGTAGCACCACTGGTGGTGATTCCTCATCTCTAGTAGCACCACTGGTGGTGATTCCTCATCTCTAGTAGCACCACTGGTGGTGATTCCTCATCTCTAGTAGCACCACTGGTGGTGATTCCTCATCTCTAGTAGCACCACTGGTGGTGATTCCTCATCTCTAGCACCACCACTGGTGGTGATTCCTCATCTCTAGCAGCACCACTGGTGGTGATTCCTCATCTCTAGTAGCAGCACTGGTGGTGATTCCTCATCTCTAGTAGCACCACCACTGGTGGTGATTCCTCATCTCTAGCACCACCACTGGTGGTGATTCCTCATCTTTAGTAGCACCACTGGTGGTGATTCCTCATCTCTAGTAGCACCATTGGTGGTGATTCCTCATCTCTAGTAGCACCACTGGTGGTGATTCCTCATCTCTAGTAGCACCACTGGTGGTGATTCCTCATCTCTAGTAGCACCACCACTGGTGGTGATTCCTCATCTCTAGTAGCACCACTGGTGGTGATTCCTCATCTCTAGCACCACCACTGGTGGTGATTCCTCATCTCTAGCACCACCACTGGTGGTGATTCCTCATCTCTAGTAGCACCACTGGTGGTGATTCCTCATCTCTAGTAGCACCACTGGTGGTGATTCCTCATCTCTAGTAGCACCACTGGTGGTGATTCCTCATCTCTATTAGCACCACTGGTGGTGATTCCTCATCTCTAGCACCACCACTGGTGGTGATTCCTCATCTCTAGCACCACCACTGGTGGTGATTCCTCATCTCTAGCACCACCACTGGTGGTGATTCCTCATCTCTAGTAGCACCACTGGTGGTGATTCCTCATCTCTAGTAGCACCATTGGTGGTGATTCCTCATCTCTAGTAGCACCACTGGTGGTGATTCTTCATCTCTAACACCACCACTGGTGGTGATTCCTCATCTCTAGTAGCACCACTGGTGGTGATTCCTCATCTCTAGTAGCAGCACCACTGGTGGTGATTCCTCATCTCTAGTAGCACCACTGGTGGTGATTCCTCATCTCTAGCACCACCACTGGTGGTGATTCCTCATCTCTAGTAGCACCACCACTGGTGTTGATTCCTCATCTCTAGTACCACCACTGGTGGTGATTCCTCATCTCTAGTAGCACCACTGGTAGTGATTCCTCATCTCTAGTGGCACCACCACTGGTGGTGATTCCTCATCTCTAGTAGCACCACTGGTGGTGATTCCTCATCTCTAGTAGCACCACTGGTGGTGATTCCTCATCTCTAGTAGCACCACTGGTGGTGATTCCTCATCTCTAGCACCACCACTGGTGGTGATTCCTCATCTCTAGTAGCACCACTGGTGGTGATTCCTCATCTCTAGCACCACCACTGGTGGTGATTCCTCATCTCTAGCACCACCACTGGTGGTGATTCCTCATCTCTAACACCACCACTGGTGGTGATTCCTCATCTCTAGTAGCACCACCACTGGTGGTGATTCCTCATCTCTAGTAGCACCACTGGTGGTGATTCCTCATCTCTAGCACCACCGCTGGTGGTGATTCCTCATCTCTAGCACCACCACTGGTGGTGATTCCTCATCTCTAGTAGCACCACCACTGGTGGTGATTCCTCATCTCTAGCACCACCACTGGTGGTGATTCCTCATCTCTAGTAGCACCACCACTGGTGGTGATTCCTCATCTCTAGTAGCACCACTGGTGGTGATTCCTCATCTCTAGTAGCACCACTGGTGGTGATTCTTCATCTCTAGTAGCACCACCACTGGTGGTGATTCTTCATCTCTAGTAGCACCACCACTGGTGGTGATTCCTCATCTCTAGTAGCACCACCACTGGTGGTGATTCCTCATCTCTAGTAGCACCACCACTGGTGGTGATTCCTCATCTCTAGTAGCACCACCACTGGTGGTGATTCCTCATCTCTAGTAGCACCACCACTGGTGGTGATTCCTCATCTCTAGCACCACCACTGGTGGTGATTCCTCATCTCTAGCACCACCACTGGTGGTGATTCTTCATCTCTAGTAGCACCACTGGTGGTGATTCCTCATCTCTAGCACCACTGGTGGTGATTCCTCATCTCTAGTAGTACCACTGGTGGTGATTCCTCATCTCTAGCACCACCACTGGTGGTGATTCCTCATCTCTAGTAGCACCACCACTGGTGGTGATTCCTCATCTCTAGTAGCACCACCACTGGTGGTGATTCCTCATCTCTAGTAGCACCACCACTGGTGGTGATTCCTCATCTCTAGTAGCACCACTGGTGGTGATTCCTCATCTCTAGTAGCACCACCACTGGTGGTGATTCCTCATCTCTAGCACCACCATTGGTGGTGATTCCTCATCTCTAGTAGCACCACCACTGGTGGTGATTCCTCATCTCTAGCACCACCATTGGTGGTGATTCCTCATCTCTAGTAGCAGCTTTGAGCCAAATCGGACACCCCTCCTCCCCGCCCCTCTCTCCTTTCACGGCCGCGTTGGTGTGATTTTAAGGGTGGGTGGGAGATTGGGTGGGTGGGAGATTGGGTGGGTGGGTGGGTGGTTGAGTGGGTGGGTGGGAGATTGGGTGGGTGGGAGATTGGGTGGGTGGGTGGTTGAGTGGGTGGGTGGGTGGTTGAGTGGGTGGGTGGGTGAGTGGGTGGGTGAGTGGGTGGGTGAGTGAGTGGGTGGGTGAGTGGGTGGATGAGTGAGTGGGTGGGTGGGTGGTTGAGTGGGTGGGTGGGTGGTTGAGTGGGTGGGTGGGTGAGTGGGTGGGTGAGTGAGTGGGTGGGTGAGTGGGTGGGTGAGTGGGTGGGTGAGTGAGTGGGTGGGTGAGTGACAGGGTGAGTATGTGACCGAGTGAGTGACAGGGTGAGTGGGCGAGTGAGTAGGTGGGTGGCTGTCTGGGTGACTGAGTCTCTGCTGTGTCTCCCCGCTGTCTCTGCTGTGTCTCCCCGCTGTCTCTGCTGTGTCTCCCCGCTGTCTGGGTGACTGAGTCTCTGCTGTGTCTCCCCGCTGTCTGGGTGACTGAGTCTCTGCTGTCTCTGCTGTGTCTCCCCGCTGTCTCTGCTGTGTCTCCCCGCTGTGTCTCCCCGCTGTGTCTCCCCGCTGTCCCCGCTGTCCCCGCTGTGTCCCCGCTGTCCCCGCCGTGTGTCCAGGTGAGCCAGAAGTGCCGTGGGCTGTGGTGGGAGTGTGTGACCAACGCCTTCGATGGCATCCGCACCTGTGACCAGTTCGACTCTATACTGGCAGAGCACCCACGTGAGTACACAACAACAAACACCACAACCACCACAACAACCACCACAACAACCACCACAACTACAACAACCACAACAACCACCACAACTACAACAACCACCACAACTACAACAACCACAACAACCACCACAACAACAACCACCACAACTACAACCACCACAACTACAACAACTACAACCACCACAGCAACCACAACTACAACAACCACCACAACAACCACAACAACCACAACTACAACCACCACAACTACAACAACTACAACCACCACAGCAACCACAACTACAACAACCACAACAACCACAACTACAACCACCACAACAACCACCACAACAACCACAACCACCACCACAACCACAACAACAACAAACACCGCAACAACCACAACCACCACAACAACCACCACAACAACCACAACCACCACAACTACAACCACCACAACAACCACCACAACAACCACAACAACCACCACAACAACCACAACAACCACAACAACCACCACAACTACAACCACCACAACAACCACAACCACCACAACCACAACAACCACCACAACCACCACTACAACCACCACAACAACCACCACAACAACCACCACAACTACAACAACCACCACAACTACAACAACCACAACAACTACAACAACCACCACAACCACAACAACAACCACCACAACTACAACAACTACAACCACCACAACTACAACAACTACAACCACCACAGCAACCACAACTACAACAACCACCACAACAACCACAACAACCACAACTACAACCACCACAACTACAACAACTACAACCACCACAGCAACCACAACTACAACAACCACCACAACAACCACAACAACCACAACTACAACCACCACAACAACCACCACAACAACCACAACCACCACCACAACCACCACAACAACAACAACCACCGCAACAACCACAACCACCACAACAACCACCACAACAACCACAACCACCACAACTACAACCACCACAACAACCACCACAACAACCACAACAACCACCACAACAACCACAACAACCACCACAACAACCACAACAACCACCACAACAACCACCACAACTACAACCACCACAACAACCACAACCACCACAACCACAACAACCACCACAACCACCACTACAACCACCACAACAACCACAATCACAATCACCGCAACAACAACCACAACAACAACCACAACAACAACCACAACAACCACAACAACAACCACAACAACTACAACCACCACAATTACAACAACTACAACAACCACCACAACAACAACTACAACAACCACCACTCAACCACAACCACCACAACAACCACAACCACCACAACAACTACCACCACAACAACTACAACAGCCACCACCACAACCACAACAACTACAACAACCACAACCACCACAACCACCACAACAACAACCAACACAACAACTACAACAACCACCACCACAACCACCACCACATGAACCACCAAAACAACCACAACAACCACCACAACAACCACAACCACAACAACAACCACAACCACCACAACAACTACCAAAACCACCACCACAACCACCACAACCACCACCACATGAACCACCAAAACAACCACAACAACCACCACAACGACCACAACAACAACCACCACCACAACAACCACCACCACAACCACCACAACAACTACAACAACCATCACCACCACAACAACCACCACCACAACAACCACCACAACAACCACGGCAGCAACTACCACCACAACAACCACCACCACAACAACCACCACCACAACAACAACCACCACAACAACCACAACAACTACAACAACCACAACCACCACAACAACCACAACCACCACAACAACCACCACCACCACCACAACCACCACAACAACAACCACAACCACCACAACAACCACCACCACCACAACCACCACCACAACCACCACCACAACAACAACCACCACAACAACAACCACCACAACAACCACCAAAGCAACCACAACAACCACCACCACAACAACCACCACCACAACAACCACCAAAGCAACCACCACCACAACAACCACCACCACAACAACCACCGCAACAACCACCACCACAACAACCACCACCACAACAACCACCACAACAACAACCACCACCACAACAACCACAACCACCACAACCACCACAACCACCACCACATGAACCACCAAAGCAACCACAACAACCACCACCACAACCACAACAACCACAACAACAACCACCACAACAACCACCACCACATGAACCACCAAAGCAACCACAACAACCACCACCACAACAACCACCACAACCACCACAACCACCACCACCACAACAACCACCACAACCACCACCACCACCACAACAACCACAACAACCACCATGGATGTCTCTATGTATCTGTGTGTGTCTGCGTGTAAAAACTTAGCAGTGAAGATCTTGCTGTCTCACACACTCACTGAAGATCTTGCTGTCTCCCACACACACAGTGAAGATCTTGCTGTCTCCCACACACACAGTGAAGATCTTGCTGTCTCCCACACACACAGTGAAGATCTTGCTGTCTCCCACACTCACAGTGAAGATCTTGCTGTCTCCCACTGTCTCCCACACACACAGTGAAGATCTTGCTGTCTCCCACACACACAGTGAAGATCTTGCTGTCTCCCACACTCACAGTGAAGATCTTGCTGTCTCCCACACTCACAGTGAAGATCTTGCTGTCTCCCACTGTCTCCCACACTCACAGTGAAAATCTTGCTGTCTCCCACACTCACAGTGAAGATCTTGCTGTCTCCCACACTCACAGTGAAGATCTTGCTGTCTCCCACACTCACAGTGAAGATCTTGCTGTCTCCCACACTCACAGTGAAGATCTTGCTGTCTCCCACACTCACAGTGAAGATCTTGCTGTCTCCCACACACACAGTGAAGATCTTGCTGTCTCCCACACTCAGTGAAGATCTTGCTGTCTCCCACACTCACAGTGAATATATTGCTGTCTCCCACACAGTGAAGATCTTGCTGTCTCCCACACTCACAGTGAAGATCTTGCTGTCTCCCACACTCACAGTGAAGATCTTGCTGTCTCCCACACTCACAGTGAAGATCTTGCTGTCTCCCACACTCACAGTGAAGATCTTGCTGTCTCCCACACACACAGTGAAGATCTTGCTGTCTCCCACACTCACAGTGAAGATCTTGCTGTCTCCCACACTCACAGTGAAGATCTTGCTGTCTCCCACACTCACAGTGAATATATTGCTGTCTCCCACACAGTGAAGATCTTGCTGTCTCCCACACTCACAGTGAAGATCTTGCTGTCTCCCACACTCACAGTGAAGATCTTGCTGTCTCCCACACTCACAGTGAAGATCTTGCTGTCTCCCACACTCACAGTGAAGATCTTGCTGTCTCCCACACTCACAGTGAAGATCTTGCTGTCTCCCACACTCACAGTGAAGATCTTGCTGTCTCCCACACTCACAGTGAAGATATTGCTGTCTCCCACACACAGTGAAGATCTTGCTGTCTCCCACTGTCTCCCACACACAAGGTGAAGATCTTGCTGTCTCCCACTGTCTCCCACACACAGTGAAGATCTTGCTGTCTCCCACACACAGTGAAGATCTTGCTGTCTCCCACACTCACAGTGAAGATCTTGCTGTCTCCTACACTCACAGTGAAGATCTTGCTGTCTCCCACACACAGTGAAGATCTTGCTGTCTCCCACTGTCTCCCACACACACAGTGAAGATCTTGCTGTCTCCCACTGTCTCCCACACACAGTGAAGATCTTGCTGTCTCCCACACTCACAGTGAAGATCTTGCTGTCTCCCACACTCACAGTGAAGATCTTGCTGTCTCCCACACTCACAGTGAAGATCTTGCTGTCTCCCACACTCACAGTGAATATCTTGCTGTCTCCCACACACAGTGAAGATCTTGCTGTCTCCCACACTCAAAGTGAAGATCTTGCTGTCTCCCACACACACAGTGAAGATCTTGCTGTCTCCCACTGTCTCCCACACACACAGTGAAGATCTTGCTGTCTCCCACACTCACAGTGAAGATCTTGCTGTCTCCCTCACTCACAGTGAAGATCTTGCTGTCTCCCACTGTCTCCCACACACACAGTGAAGATCTTGCTGTCTCCCACACTCACAGTGAAGATCTTGCTGTCTCCCACACTCACAGTGAAGATCTTGCTGTCTCCCACACTCACAGTGAATATCTTGCTGTCTCCCACACACAGTGAAGATCTTGCTGTCTCCCACTGTCTCCCACACACACAGTGAAGATCTTGCTGTCTCCCACTGTCTCCCTCACACACAGTGAAGATCTTGCTGTCTCTCACAGTGAAGATCTTGCTGTCTCCCACTGTCTCCCACACTCACAGTGAAGATCTTGCTGTCTCCCACACACAGTGAAGATCTTGCTGTCTCCCACACACAGTGAAGATCTTGCTGTCTCCCACACACAGTGAAGATCTTGCTGTCTCCCACACACAGTGAAGATCTTGCTGTCTCCCACTGTCTCCCACACACACAGTGAAGATCTTGCTGTCTCCCACACACAGTGAAGATCTTGCTGTCTCCCACTCACAGTGAAGATCTTGCTGTCTCCCACACACAGTGAAGATCTTGCTGTCTCCCACTGTCTCCCACACACACAGTGAAGATCTTGCTGTCTCCCACACACAGTGAAGATCTTGCTGTCTCCCACACTCACAGTGAAGATCTTGCTGTCTCCCTCACTCACAGTGAAGATCTTGCTGTCTCCCACACACACAGTGAAGATCTTGCTGTCTCCCACACTCACAGTGAAGATCTTGCTGTCTCCCACACTCACAGTGAAGATCTTGCTGTCTCCCACACACACAGTGAAGATCTTGCTGTCTCCCACTGTCTCCCACACACAGTGAAGATCTTGCTGTCTCCCACACACAGTGAAGATCTTGCTGTCTCCCACACTCACAGTGAAGATCTTGCTGTCTCCCACACTCACAGTGAAGATCTTGCTGTCTCCCACTGTCTCCCACACACACAGTGAAGATCTTGCTGTCTCACACTGTTTCCCACACTCACAGTGAAGATCTTGCTGTCTCCCTCACTCACAGTGAAGATCTTGCTGTCTCCCACACACAGTGAAGATCTTGCTGTCTCCCACACTCAGTGAAGATCTTGCTGTCTCCCACACACAGTGAAGATCTTGCTGTCTCCCACACACAGTGAAGATATTGCTGTCTCCCACTGTCTCCCACACACACAGTGAAGATCTTGCTGTCTCCCACACACAGTGAAGATCTTGCTCTCTCCCACACTCACAGTGAAGATCTTGCTGTCCCCCACACACAGTGAAGATCTTGCTGTCTCCCACACTCACAGTGAAGATCTTGCTGTCTCCCACACACAGTGAAGATCTTGCTGTCTCCCACACACAGTGAAGATATTGCTGTCTCCCACTGTCTCCCACACACACAGTGAAGATCTTGCTGTCTCCCACACACAGTGAAGATCTTGCTGTCTCCCTCACTCACAGTGAAGATCTTGCTGTCTCCCACTGTCTCTCACACACAGTGAAGATCTTGCTGTCACGCACACACACACAGTGAAGATCTTGCTGTCTCCCACACACAGTGAAGATCTTCCTGTCTCCAACTGTCTCCCTCACACAGTGAAGATCTTGCTGTCTCCCACACTCACAGTGAAGATCTTGCTGTCTCCCACACACACAGTGAAGATCTTGCTGTCTCCCACACACAGTGAAGATCTTCCTGTCTCCAACTGTCTCCTACACACAGTGAAGATCTTGCTGTCTCCCACACTCACAGTGAAGATCTTGCTGTCTCCCACACACACACTGAAGATCTTGCTGTCTCCCACACACAGTGAAGATCGTGCTGTCTCCCACACACAGTGAAGATCGTGCTGTCTCCCACACACAGTGAAGATCTTGCTGTCTCCCACACACAGTGAATATCTTGCTGTCTCCCACACACAGTGAAGATCTTGCTGTCTCCCACACACAGTGAAGATCTTGCTGTCTCCCACACTCACAGTGAAGATCTTGCTGTCTCCCACTGTCTCCCACACTCACAGTGAAGATCTTGCTGTCTCCCACACTCACAGTGAAGATCTTGCTGTCTCCCACACTCACAGTTAAGATCTTGCTGTCTCCCACACACAATGAAGATCTTGCTGTCTCCCACACACAGTGAAGATCTTGCTGTCTCCCACTGTCTCCCACACACACAGTGAAGATCTTGCTGTCTCCCACTGTCTCCCACACACAGTGAAGATCTTGCTGTCTCCCACACACAGTGAAGATCTTGCTGTCTCCCACTGTCTCCCACACACACAGTGAAGATCTTGCTGTCTCCCACACTCACAGTGAAGATCTTGCTGTCTCCCACTGTCTCCCACACAGTGAAGATCTTGCTGTCTCCCACACACACAGTGAAGATCTTGCTGTCTCCCACACACACAGTGAATATCTTGTTGTCTCCCGCTGTCTCCCACACACAGTGAAGATCTTGCTGTCTCCCACACACAGTGAAGATCTTGCTGTCTCCCACTGTCTCCCTCACACACAGTGAAGATCTTGCTGTCTCCCACACACAGTGAAGATCTTGTTGTCTCCCACACCCACAGTGAAGATTTTGCTGTCTCCCACACTCACAGTGAACATCTTGCTGTCTCCCACACACAGTGAAGATCTTGCTGTCTCCCACACACAGTGAACATCTTGCTGTCTCCCACTGTCTCCCACACACAGTGAAGATCGTGCTGTCCCGCTCCCTCATCCTCACCGCTGACATCCTCGCCTGCTTCGCCTGCATCATCCTCATCCTGGGCCTCGACTGCGTGCGAGTGCTCAGCAATGAGCCCCGAATCAAGACCCGCATCTGTTACACGGCCGGCTTCATCTACCTCCTCGCCGGTGAGCCCCACCCCACACCGCCTGGGTTAGCCGGCTCTAGTTAGCCAGCTAGTTAACCAGCTAGTTAGCCAGCTAGTTAAACAGATAGTTAGCCAGCTAGTTAAACAGATAGTCAGCCAGTTAGTTAAACAGCTAGTTAGCCAGCTAGTTAAACAGCTAGTTAGCCAGCTAGTTAAACAGGTAGTTAGCCAGCTAGTTAAACAGGTAGTTAGCCAGCTAGTTAAACAGGTAGTTAGCCAGCTAGTTAAACAGGTAGTTAGCCAGCTAGTTAAACAGGTAGTTAGCCAGCTAGTTAACCAGCTAGTTAGCCAGCTAGTTAAACAGATAGTTAGCCAGCTAGTTAAACAGGTAGTTAGCCAGCTAGTTAACCAGCTAGTTAGCCAGCTAGTTAAACAGATAGTTAGCCAGCTAGTTAAACAGGTAGTTAGCCAGCTAGTTAAACAGGTAGTTAGTTAGCTAGTTAAACAGATAGCCAGCTAGTTAAACAGGTAGTTAGCCAGCTAGTTAAACAGGTAGTTAGCCAGCTAGTTAAACAGGTAGTTAGCCAGCTAGTTAAACAGCTAGTTAGCCAGCTAGTTAAACAGCTAGTTAGCCAGCTAGTTAAACAGGTAGTTAGCCAGCTAGTTAAACAGCTAGTTAGCCAGCTAGTTAAACAGCTAGTTAGCCAGCTAGTTAAACAGGTAGTTAGCCAGCTAGTTAAACAGGTAGTTAGCCAGCTAGTTAAACAGGTAGTTAGCCAGCTAGTTAAACAGGTAGTTAGCCAGCTAGTTAACCAGGTAGTTAGCCACCTAGTTAACCAGGTAGTTAGCCACCTAGTTAACCAGGTAGTTAGCCACCTAGTTAACCAGGTAGCTAGCCACCTAGTTAACCAGGTAGTTAGCCACCTAGTTAACCAGGTAGTTAGCCACCTAGTTAACCAGGTAGTTAGCCACCTAGTTGAACGGCTAGTTAGCCACCTAGTTGAACGGCTAGTTAGCCACCTAATTGAACGGCTAGTTAGCCACCTAGTTGAACGGCTAGTTAGCCACCTAGTTGAACGGCTAGTTAGCCACCTAGTTGAACGGCTAGTTAGCCACCTAGTTGAACGGCTAGTTAGCCACCTAGTTGAACGGCTAGTTAGCCACCTAGTTGAATGGCTAGTTAGCCACCTAGTTGAACGGCTAGTTAGCCACCTAGTTGAACGGCTAGTTAGCCACCTAGTTGAACGGCTAGTTAGCCACCTAGTTGAACGGCTAGTTAGCCACCTAGTTGAACGGCTAGTTAGCCACCTAGTTGAACGGCTAGTTAGCCACCTAGTTGAACGGCTAGTTAGCCACCTAGTTGAACGGCTAGTTAGCCACCTAGTTGAACGGCTAGTTAGCCACCTAGTTGAACGGCTAGTTAGCCACCTAGTTGAACGGCTAGTTAGCCACCTAGTTGAACGGCTAGTTAGCCACCTAGTTGAACGGCTAGTTAGCCACCTAGTTGAACGGCTAGTTAGCCACCTAGTTGAACGGCTAGTTAGCCACCTAGTTGAACGGCTAGTTAGCCACCTAGTTGAACGGCTAGTTAGCCACCTAGTTGGACGGCTAGTTAGCCACCTAGTTGGACGGCTAGTTAGCCACCTAGTTGGACGGCTAGTTAGCCACCTAGTTTGGACGGCTAGTTAGCCACCTAGTTGGACGGCTAGTTAGCCACCTAGTTGGACGGCTAGTTAGCCACCTAGTTGGACGGCTAGTTAGCCACCTAGTTGGACGGCTAGTTAGCCACCTAGTTGGACGGCTAGTTAGCCACCTAGTTGGACGGCTAGTTAGCCACCTAGTTGGACGGCTAGTTAGCCACCTAGTTGGACGGCTAGTTAGCCACCTAGTTGAACGGCTAGTTAGCCACCTAGTTGACCGGCTAGTTAGCCACCTAGTTGACCGGCTAGTTAGCCACCTAGTTGACCGGCTAGTTAGCCACCTAGTTGACCGGCTAGTTAGCCACCTAGTTGACCGGCTAGTTAGCCACCTAGTTGACCGGCTAGTTAGCCACCTAGTTGACCGGCTAGTTAGCCACCTAGTTGACCGGCTAGTTAGCCACCTAGTTGACCGGCTAGTTAGCCACCTAGTTGACCGGCTAGTTAGCCACCTAGTTGACCGGCTAGTTAGCCACCTAGTTGACCGGCTAGTTAGCCACCTAGTTGACCGGCTAGTTAGCCACCTAGTTGACCGGCTAGTTAGCCACCTAGTTGACCGGCTAGTTAGCCACCTAGTTGACCGGCTAGTTAGCCACCTAGTTGACCGGCTAGTTAGCCACCTAGTTGACCGGCTAGTTAGCCACCTAGTTGACCGGCTAGTTAGCCACCTAGGTTGACCGGCTAGTTAGCCACCTAGTTGACCGGCTAGTTAGCCACCTAGTTGACCGGCTAGTTAGCCACCTAGTTGACCGGCTAGTTAGCCACCTAGTTGACCGGCTAGTTAGCCACCTAGTTGACCGGCTAGTTAGCCACCTAGTTGACCGGCTAGTTAGCCACCTAGTTGACCGGCTAGTTAGCCACCTAGTTGACCGGCTAGTTAGCCACCTAGTTGACCGGCTAGTTAGCCACCTAGTTGACCGGCTAGTTAGCCACCTAGTTGACCGGCTAGTTAGCCACCTAGTTGACCGGCTAGTTAGCCACCTAGTTGACCGGCTAGTTAGCCACCTAGTTGACCGGCTAGTTAGCCACCTAGTTGACCGGCTAGTTAGCCACCTAGTTGACCGGCTAGTTAGCCACCTAGTTGACCGGCTAGTTAGCCACCTAGTTGACCGGCTAGTTAGCCACCTAGTTGACCGGCTAGTTAGCCACCTAGTTGACCGGCTAGTTAGCCACCTAGTTGACCGGCTAGTTAGCCACCTAGTTGACCGGCTAGTTAGCCACCTAGTTGACCGGCTAGTTAGCCACCTAGTTGACCGGCTAGTTAGCCACCTAGTTGACCGGCTAGTTAGCCACCTAGTTGACCGGCTAGTTAGCCACCTAGTTGACCGGCTAGTTAGCCACCTAGTTGACCGGCTAGTTAGCCACCTAGTTGACCGGCTAGTTAGCCACCTAGTTGACCGGCTAGTTAGCCACCTAGTTGACCGGCTAGTTAGCCACCTAGTTGACCGGCTAGTTAGCCACCTAGTTGACCGGCTAGTTAGCCACCTAGTTGACCGGCTAGTTAGCCACCTAGTTGACCGGCTAGTTAGCCACCTAGTTGACCGGCTAGTTAGCCACCTAGTTGACCGGCTAGTTAGCCACCTAGTTGACCGGCTAGTTAGCCACCTAGTTGACCGGCTAGTTAGCCACCTAGTTGACCGGCTAGTTAGCCACCTAGTTGACCGGCTAGTTAGCCACCTAGTTGACCGGCTAGTTAGCCACCTAGTTGACCGGCTAGTTAGCCACCTAGTTGACCGGCTAGTTAGCCACCTAGTTGACCGGCTAGTTAGCCACCTAGTTGACCGGCTAGTTAGCCACCTAGTTGACCGGCTAGTTAGCCACCTAGTTGACCGGCTAGTTAGCCACCTAGTTGACCGGCTAGTTAGCCACCTAGTTGACCGGCTAGTTAGCCACCTAGTTGACCGGCTAGTTAGCCACCTAGTTGACCGGCTAGTTAGCCACCTAGTTGACCGGCTAGTTAGCCACCTAGTTGACCGGCTAGTTAGCCACCTAGTTGACCGGCTAGTTAGCCACCTAGTTGACCGGCTAGTTAGCCACCTAGTTGACCGGCTAGTTAGCCACCTAGTTGACCGGCTAGTTAGCCACCTAGTTGACCGGCTAGTTAGCCACCTAGTTGACCGGCTAGTTAGCCACCTAGTTGACCGGCTAGTTAGCCACCTAGTTGACCGGCTAGTTAGCCACCTAGTTGACCGGCTAGTTAGCCACCTAGTTGACCGGCTAGTTAGCCACCTAGTTGACCGGCTAGTTAGCCACCTAGTTGACCGGCTAGTTAGCCACCTAGTTGACCGGCTAGTTAGCCACCTAGTTGACCGGCTAGTTAGCCACCTAGTTGACCGGCTAGTTAGGCCACCTAGTTGACCGGCTAGTTAGCCACCTAGTTGACCGGCTAGTTAGCCACCTAGTTGACCGGCTAGTTAGCCACCTAGTTGACCGGCTAGTTAGCCACCTAGTTGACCGGCTAGTTAGCCACCCTAGTTGACCGGCTAGTTAGCCACCTAGTTGACCGGCTAGTTAGCCACCTAGTTGACCGGCTAGTTAGCCACCTAGTTGACCGGCTAGTTAGCCACCTAGTTGACCGGCTAGTTAGCCACCTAGTTGACCGGCTAGTTAGCCACCTAGTTGACCGGCTAGTTAGCCACCTAGTTGACCGGCTAGTTAGCCACCTAGTTGACCGGCTAGTTAGCCACCTAGTTGACCGGCTAGTTAGCCACCTAGTTGACCGGCTAGTTAGCCACCTAGTTGACGGCTAGTTAGCCCACCTAGTTGACCGGCTAGTTAGCCACCTAGTTGACCGGCCTAGTAGCCACCTAGTTGACCGGCTAGTTAGCCACCTAGTTGACCGGCTAGTTTAGCCACCTAGTTGACCGGCTAGTTAGCCACCTAGTTTGACGGCTAGTAGCCACCTAGTTGACCGGACTAGTTAGCCACTAGTTGACCGGCTAGTTAGCCACCTAGTTCGACGGCTAGTTAGCCACCTAGTTGACCGGCTAGTTAGCCACCTAGTTGACCGGCTAGTTAGCCCACCTAGTTGACCGGCTAGTTAGCCACCTAGTTGACCGGCTAGTTAGCCACCTAGTTGACCGGCTAGTTAGCCACATAGTTGACCGGCTAGTTAGCACACCTAGTTGACCCGGCCTAGTTAGCCACCTAGCTGACCGGCTAGTTAGCCACCTAGTTGACCGGCGAGTTAGCCACCTAGTTGACCGGCTAGTTAGCCACCTAGTTGACCGGCTAGTTAGCCACCTAGTTGACCGGCTAGTTAGCCACCTAGTTGACCGGCTAGTTAGCCACCTAGTTGACCGGCTAGTTAGCCACCTAGTTGACCGGCTAGTTAGCCACCTAGTTGACCGGCTAGTTAGCCACCTAGTTGACCGGCTAGTTAGCCACCTAGTTGACCAGCTAGTTAGCCACCTAGTTGACCAGCTAGTTAGCCACCTAGTTGACCAGCTAGTTAGCCACCTAGTTGACCAGCTAGTTAGCCACCTAGTTGACCAGCTAGTTAGCCACCTAGTTGACCAGCTAGTTAGCCACCTAGTTAAACAGGTAGTTAGCCACCTAGTTAAACAGGTAGTTAGCCACCTAGTTAACCACCTAGTTTATAGGTGAGTTGGCTAGTGGGCCGGCTAGTGGACTGGCTAGTGGGTTAACCAGCCAGTTAGCTAGTGGACCAGCTCGTTAACCAGCTGGTTAACTAGATGATCGGCGAGTTAGCTAGTGGACCAGCTAGTTAACCAGCTAATTAACTAGATAATTGGCGCGTTAGCTAGTCGACCAGCTAGTTAACCAGCTAGTTAACTAGATAATCGGCGAGTTAGCTAGTGGACCAGCTAGTTAGCCAGCTAGTTAACTAGATAATTGGCGAGTTAGCTAGTCGACCAGCTAGTTAACCAGCTAGTTAACTAGTTAATCGGCCAGTTAGCTAGTGGACCAGCTAGTTAACCAGCTAGTTAACTAAATAATTGGCGTTATCTAGTCGACTAGCTTGGTAACCAGCTAGTTAACTAGTTAATCGGCCAGTTAGCTAATGGACCAGCTAGTTAACCAGCTAGTTAACTAGTTAATCGGCCAGTTAGCTAGTGGGCCAGCTAGTTAACCAGCAAGTTAACTAAATAATTGGCGTTATCTAGTCGACTAGCTAGTTAGCCAGCTAGGTAACTTGTTAATTGGCGAGTTAGCTAGTCGACCAGCTAGTTAACCAGCTAGTTAACTAGATAATCGGCGAGTTAGCTAGTGGACCAGCTAGTTAACCAGCTAGTTAACTAGATGATTGGCGAGTTAGCTAGTGGACCAGCTAGTTAACTAGATAATCGGCGAGTTAACTAGTGGACCAGCTAGTAAACCAGCTAGTTAACTAGATAATCGGTGAGTTAGCTAGTGGACCAGCTAGTTAACCAGCTAGTTAACTAGACAATCAGCGAGTTAGCTAGTCGACCAGCTAGTAAACCAGCTAGTTTACTAGATAATCGGCGAGTTATCTAGTCGACCAGCTAGTTAACCAGCTAGTTAACTAGACAATCGGCCAGTTAGCTAGTGGACCAGCTAGTTAACCAGCTAGTTAACTAGTTAATCGGCGAGTTAGCTAGTGGACCAGTTAGTTAACCAGCTAGTTTACTAGATAATCGGCGAGTTATCTAGTTGACCAGCTAGTTAACCAGCTAGTTAACTAGACAATCGGCCAGTTAACTAGTGGACCAGCTAGTAAACCAGCTAGTTGACTAGATAATCGGCGAGTTAGCTAGTGGACCAGCTAGTTAACCAGCTAGTTAACTAGACAATCGACGAGTTAGTTAGTCGACCAGCTAGTAAACCAGCTAGTTTACTAGATAATCGGCGAGTTATCTAGTCGACCAGCTAGTTAACCAGCTAGTTAACTAGACAATCGGCCAGTTAGCTAGTGGACCAGCTAGTTAACCAGCTAGTTAACTAGTTAATCGGCGAGTTATCTAGTGGACCAGCTAGTTAACCAGCTAGTTAACTAGTTAATTGGCGAGTTAGCTAGTGGACCAGCTAGTTAACCAGCTAGTTAACTAGATAATTGGCGAGTTAGCTAGTCAACCAGCTAGTTAACCAGCTAGTTAACTAGATAATCAGCGAGTTAACTAGTGGACCAGCTAGTTAACCAGCTAGTTAAATAGATGATTGGCGAGTTAGCTAGTGTATCAGCTAGTTAACTAGATAATCAGCGAGTTAACTAGTGGACCAGCTAGTTAACCAGCTAGTTAACTAGATAATCAGCGAGTTAACTAGTGGACAAGCTAGTTAACCAGCTAGTTAAATCGATGATTGGCGAGTTAGCTAGTGTATCAGCTAGTTAACTAGATAATCGGCCAGTTATCTAGTTGACCAGCTAGTAAACCAGCTAGTTAACTAGATAATCGGCGAGTTAGCTAGTGGACCAGCTAGTTAACCAGCTAGTTAACTAGACAGTCGCCCAGTTAGCTAGTGGACCAGCTAGTTAACCAGCTAGTTAGCTAAATAATTGGCGTTATCTAGTCGACTAGCTAGTTAACCAGCTAGTTAACTAGTTAATTGGCGAGTTAGCTAGTTGACCAGCTAGTTAACCAGCTAGTTAACTAGACAATCGGCCCAGTTAGCTAGTGGACCAGCTAGTTAACCAGTTAGCCCGTTACCCTGCTAGTTCGCTCGTCGGTTCACCTCCAGCAGGCCTCTCCCCGCAGTTGCCCACCCCTCATGGGTGTCCACCTCCCTGTGGCTGCCCCCACCCGTCAATGGGTGTTTGACGTCGCCCCACGGCCTCCCCGCGGTCGGCCCACCCTGCAGGCATCCCCGGCATGGTGGGGTCCGTGTGGTACGCCGTGGACGTGTACGTGGAGCGCTCCACGCTGGTGCAGCAGAACGTCTTCCTGGGCATACAGTACGAGTTTGGGTGGTCCTGCTGGCTGGGCATGGCCGGCTCCATGGCCTGCATCCTGGCCGGGATCGTCCTCACCTGCTGCGTCTACCTGTTCAGGGGTACGGTGACAAACGCCACAGCACGCCACGCCACAGCACACCCTACCACACCACACCACACCCTACCACACCACACCACAGCACACCACACCACACCACACCCTACCACACCACACCACACCCTACCACACCACACCACAGCACACCACACCACACCACACCCTACCACACCACACCACACCCTACCACACCACACCCTACCACACCACACCTGACCACACCACACCTGACCACACCACACCTGACCACACCACACCACACCCTACCACACCCTACTACACCACACCCTACCACACCACACCCTACCACACCACACCCTACCACACCCTACCACACCACACCCTACCACACCCTACCACACCACACCACGCCACAGCACACCACACCACACCCTACCACAGCACACCCTACCACACCACACCCTACCACACCACACCACACCCTGCCACACCCTACCACACCCTGCCACACCCTACCACACCTGACCACACCTACCACACCACACCCTACCACACCACACCACACCCTACCACACCACACCCTACCACACCACACCCTACCACACCACACCACACCCTACCACACCACACCCTACCACACCACACCCTACCACACCACACCTGACCACACCCCACCTGACCACACCACACCACACCTGACCCCACCTGACCCCACCTGACCCCACTTGACCCCACCTGACCAGACCCCACCTGACCACACCTGACCCCACCTGACCACACCACACCTGACCCCACCTGACCACACCACACTTCACCTGACCACACCTGACCCCACCTGACCACACCACACCCCACCTGACCCCACCTGACCCCACCTGACCCCACCTGACCTCACCTGACCCCACCTGACCCCAACACACCCTACCACACCTGACCACACCACACCCCACCTGACCCCACCTGACCCCACCTGACCACACCTGACCCCACCTGACCCCACCTGACCCCACCTGACCCCACCCTCCCGCGTTTCTCTCCCTTCTCTCTCCAGATGCGAACGCCGCCCGCCTGCACAGATCCCCGTACGTCGCTCCACGCACCTCCCTGGGCAAGATGTACGCCATGGCTTCCCACGTGTGACCTCACTTCCTGTGCGGGGTGACGTCACTTCCTGTCATTGCTGCTGCCACTCCCCAATCTCCAAGCGAGGGGAAAATGGCCGCCGTGTGCTCCTCCATTAACACGACCACCACCACCACTCCTACACCACAACCACCACCACCAATCCTCCACCAACACAACCACCACCACTCCTACACCACAACCACCAACACAACCACCACCACTCCTGCATCACAACCACCAACACGACCACCACCACTCCTACACCACAACCACCACCACCAATCCTCCACCAACACAACCACCACCACTCCTACACCACAACCACCAACACAACCACCACCACTCCTCCACCAACACAACCACCAACACAACCACCACCACTCCTGCATCACAACCACCAACACAACCACCACCACTCCTGCACCACAACCACCAACACAACCACCACCACTCCTGCATCACAACCACCAACACGACCACCACCACTCTTACACCACCAACACAACCACCACCACCACTCCTGCATCACAACCACCAACACAACCACCACCACTCCTGCACCACAACCACCAACACAACCACCACCACTCCTCCACCAACACAACCACCAACACAACCACCACCACTCCTGCACCACAACCACCAACACAACCACCACCACTCCTGCATCACAACCACCACCACTCCTGCATCACAACCACCAACACGACCACCACCACTCCTGCACCACAACCACCAACACAACCACCACCACTCCTGCACCACAACCACCAACACAACGACCACTCTTGCACCACAACCACCACCACTCTTACACCACAAACACAACCACCACCATTAATGCACCACAACCACCAACACAACCACCACCACCAATCCTCCACCAACACAACCACCACCACGAATCCTCCACCAACAAAACCACAATCACTCCTACACCAACAACCACCACCACTCCTACACCACAAACACAACCACCACCACTCCTACACCAACACAACCACCACCACTCCTACACCACAAACACAACCACCACCACTCCTCCACCAACACAACCACCACCACCAATCCTCCACCAACACAACCACCACCACTCCTACACCACAAACACAACCACCACCACTCCTGCACCACTCCTCCTCCACCAACACAACCACTCCTGCACCACAACCACCAACACAACCACCACCACCACTCCTCCGCAAACACAACCACCACTACTCCACCACCAACACAACCACCACAACCACCACCACCAACAACAACAACCGCCATTCGCCACGAAATGGCGGTGACGTTGTTGTATATTTAGGCCTCTTTCCAAAATTGATATTGATAATGATTTTGCCAATATTTAATTTTTTTAATCAATGGTGGTGTCACTTGGGGCAAAAGGGGAGTGATACAGCCCCCCCTCTCCTCACACACAACAGGCCGCCGGGGACAGCAATAGAAATAAACCCAAAATAAAGAGAAGGGGGGGTGGGTGGGGAATTCCTAACGAGAGACTAAAACTAAAAAAATCCCGACACGGCTTCAAATCCTCGCCAGCTTTCAGGGCGGCGAAAACCGGACGGACAAGTTTTGGTTATTTTTAATTAGCAGAAAGTCCAAGAGAAAACTCAGCAACAAGAATAAGCTGACATTATAGCAATCTACACACTCACTACGATTAAAGAAAAAACTAAAACAGGCTACAGTCTACATAGCGGGTAATTACTTCTCGTACATAATATTAATACTAACGTTAAATTATATTACATGTTGCCGTCTACGTGACCTTACGAAAACCAAAAATAAATGAATTCCAGCAGTCAAGAAGCTTAGCCGAAACTTAGTTATAACTCTAAAGCTTAGGACATAAAAAATTACTCTTATAACTGCACGGATTCCCGGATACAGACGGGGGGACGAAATTAATCAGTCCTAAGAAACACGTGGCGATGATAATGTTAAATCACAAATCTTGGGGAACGTAAACCAACTAATAATGATGCAGTATTAAACCGGGGGGCCAGCCAGACGAGATGAGGCGAGGTGGGTCGATCACGTGACCAAGATAAATGTATCCCAGAGAGAAAGAGAGCCTCCCGGCCGCCTTTGTCTTCCAGCAGCACGTGATAGAATTTGCAGACGCAGGCAGAGGGCAATCCCCTCTTAAGAATCAAAACCAAAGACCACGATGGAAACGCTGCTCCGGCACACCTTGAGTCACGTACGGAATCATAACCGCAAGTGGCACGGTATCAAACTGTGAGGTAAAAGAAATGTTTAACTTCAAAAGCCTCAACGCACCCTTTGTGCGAGGCCAAAGAACGTCACACCGGGAGGGAAGAGCGGGGGGGGGGGGAGAGGACTCGACCGGACAGGGGGGGCACAACCCCCCTCCTCCCAGATGAATTAGTGCAGAGGGTGAGAAAGGAGGACACACTCGGGGGAGGCAATCTGGAGAATCGGTTTCCTTTTGATGGCGGGATGGCTTGAGGAAGGCGACAGGGAACCATGCCTTGACGAGAACTCATTACCTCAATATGACACAACAACAACCGCCATTTGCCACTAAGTGGCGGTGACGTCACCACGACGCTTGTGCCAGGCCATACACACGGACACACACGGACACACACACACGGACACACACGTACACACACACACGGACACACACACACACCCCCGCAACACAGAGCGAGATCAAAGCAAGTCCCCGTCCTTTGTGAGGAGGCGAGCCGGAGGAAGAAATTTCGGCGCAAAACGAGAGGCGGAAGCCGCCGCAAATCGCTGCTGCCAGGCGGCAGAAGGCGGCGACCATCGGCTCGACAAGAAGACGCAGCAGCTAGGAAGGGCACAGCAAGCCAGCTGCGGAGCAATGGCCTCGAGATGGACGGCAACGTCTGCGGTGCGTCGAGGGGGGGGGCGGGAGGCGGTGCCCTGTGCCGAGTTCGGCACGGACCCGGCGGAGCCTCGCTGAGAAGTTATCCCCAGCGTCGGGCAATCGGCCTGGAGAAGGGCCGGAGAGCGGCGAGCATCGACCGGGCCAGCATCGCGGAGGGCTCAGCCGCAGGTGCAAGCGGCACCCCCAGAGAGAGAGAGAGGCGGAGCCCGCGGCACCGCTACCCAAGCGAGGCTGCCGGCGTACCGACTCGGCTCGTCCGGCAAGGGGGGGGGGAAGGAGCCTGAGCGGCCGCCCGCTCGGGGTTCGACCCGGAGGTGCGCGCCGACCGGCACCGGCCCGGGCACCAGGGCAAGAGCGAGGGGAACGAGCCGCCGTTCGTACGCCCCTCCCAACACTCCCCCACTCCCCACACACACACACACACACGCTCGCGAAACCCACGACCCTCCCGGCGTCTGCTCACACGGGAATTTGCCAAAGAGACGAGTCCAAGCACACCCGCACAGCACGAGGACTGATTGTTGAAGGGCACGAGAAGCATCAGCTGGCCGTGAAGGCTTCGCGGCTCAGCGAGCGGTAACAAGGCGTCGTTTATATGAGCGCATCAATTTGTTTTCCCTTCTCGTTCTGTTCTGCGTGATTTTTACTTCCGACCGCATAGATCGCCAATAGATTCATCGATGCAAACGAAGCTTTTGGAAAAGCTTTACGTCACGAATCTGCACGCTCGCAGAGAGAATATCGTGTTGCACCTGTTTGTTTATCGTACGATCTTGTCCGCGAATTAATTTAAAACTTAGCCAGAGATAAGAATCTCCCGTAGGAGGGCACGCACACCGTCGCACACCCTGATTCCTAGACATTTCGTTAATTATATAATCTTGCCGATGAATCTATTGACGTATACTTTTGCCTTTGGGGTATAATAATTTTCCTTTATTGCCTTTCGTATGAATATCGTTGCATGAATTTTGAAGGACTTTTCCTCTCGCCGTGTATGTTCGCGTACTCTGAGGAAGTAATCGATTGTACTGTTAGCCAGTTAACAAACGTGATCATTGAGGGTTAAATGTATGGATCAATGAGGGGACCATCTCCTGGAGTACTGTGTTGACAATTTCAAGCAGAAGAGTTCGCATATTAGAGTGTTAAGGTTTTGTTTAGAAATTAAAATTGCTTAACACAGAAGTGTTTTGAGTGTTTCTTTCCTAAGTTCATGCGTAATATCTTAATAATAAGAAGTGTATCCTGGGGTGAGATTTCAATTTGCAGACCTTGACATAACACACATAGATAATCAGTAAATGTTAAAGCGAGAATAATTGTATTATACCGATCAATAATATAAACCTAGACAACAAAGCCGAGCTTAATCTAGCATACTTACAGCACACCTGCATCACTTCATACAATTTATTGTATTATCCCAATTGATAATACGACCCTGGGCAACGAAGCTAAGCCTAATTATCATAACTGCCCATATTGGCATAATCGCATACATTAACATAAGTTAATACGATTATCTCTCTAAGTAGCATAATTTACGTGCATAACTACATAACTTTACATAATTTCGGATAATTACGCATTTTTCCAAATTAGATTAAAATTTAATTATTTTCATTAAATTTAACGTCACCACGATGCTTGTGCCAGACTATGTGCACGTTGAGGCCACGTGAAGTGTCGAACGCCCGCTGAGACGAGGTCACGGGGCAGACCCAGGTGCCACGGGTAGACTGACTGAGATGACTGGCTGATGCACCACCTGTGTCCCCTACTGTGCCAACCTGCTGTGCTTTAGCCACCCGGCGCTCCGCTCGTTGTTGTGAGCGTCGCTCCTCCGCCCTCCGTTGTTGTTGGAGGGCGACTGCCTCCAACTGCCCAGTAGCGTCCCTCACGAGCCTCCTCCACAGAGGCCGATCTTGACACCGCTGGTACCAGTCATCGGCAAGTCCACTCAGCTCCACGTCCTCCTGTACCACATCACTCCATCTCTTCTCTAGCCCGTGCCGCGCCTATTTAGCCCCCTCGATCCAGCCAAACAAAAGCTATTTGGGCATGCGGTGGCTGGGCATGCGGGCTACATGACCCAGCCATCGCAGCCTTGCCTGCCGGAGGAGCTCACCGATGGGACCTTGCCCAGATCTTTCAAGGATTTGTGAGCTCACACAATCCAGCCTGGTTAAACCCAGGATGGATCGTAGGCAGACCAGCCTAAATGTTTCTAACCGGCGAAGATTCTCCATTAGGGGGGTCCACGTTTCGCAAGCGTAGAGAAGGGAGGAAATGACCGTGGCCGAGAAGACCTGAAGCT